GGAAGGGGTAGACTGCCAAATCATTTGCCAGGCTGATGCCTTCAGAAGTGAACTGAACCATCTCAAGGAAATTTTAACTTCCCTCAATAGTTACCCTGCCAACCTAGCCTACAAAACCACCAACAAGGCACTCAAGAACTCCAAGCCCCTGCTCAAACCCGCCCATCGCCTATCGGAATCACCATACTCTACCATGTCCCTGTCAGTCTTCAAATTGACCGTCTCATCAAGAACACAACGAGCATAGATGTCACCTTTTTCCACCGGTAAGGCCACACAGAACCATCTATGAGCCAATGTCAGAGGCTCGAGCAGCACTAGCCTGACTTACTTACTTACTTACTTTGGAGATTTAACGTGCGCTTTCCGACTGATGCGTATTTCGCACACGGGCCCGGCCAGGCCATTTAATGTGTTTGTGCAACCCAAGAGGGGGGTTTAGGGGTTGCTTATATAGAATTTGGGAATTTTGAGATTTGGAATAGATGCCGATGAGGTTGGGGAGGAGAACTAAGGGAGCTGGGTATGGTGGATGTTTGTTTGTTTATGTGATTTTGATTTGGTAGGTTATTGTGTTTTTAGATGCGTTTTATTTGTTCCGTTTTGATTAAGAATACGCCTAAGGCCTTGACGTTTTCTAGTTTATTCTGTGGGTTTAGTATTGCTTCTAGAGTGAGAGCCTTGTTTAGATTGAGGGTGGTTTGTAATGCGGTTCGATGTGTTAGGTAGTGAATGCAGTGTGTGAGTGCGTGTTCTGGGGTTTCTAGTTGTTTGCAGTGTGGGCAGTTACCTGTAGTGTGTTTTTTAAATTTTTTTAGGTGGTTATTTAGGTTGGTGTGTCCTGTTTGGAGTTTAGTGATTACTCTGTCGATTTTTTTGATGGATGGAGAATTTTTGGTTTGGTTAGTGGTTTGCTGAGCACTTTTTTGATTTGGCTATTTGAGTTTAGATATAGGTTATGCCATTTTTTGTGATTTTCTGCCTGTTTACACTTTTAATTTCTGATTTTGAGATGGGTAAGTTTAAGCTTATTTCTGGGATTTTGAGGGATAGTTTAGCTGCTTTATCGGCGTTTTCATTACCGTATATTCCTACGTGGGCGGGTATCCACAAGAAGGTTATTTGTTTGCCTGCCTTAGCTAGGTCGTTGGAGCTTTTAAGTATTTGATTTATTAATTTAGGTCGGTTTTTGGTATTTTTGTTTTGGAGGGCTTGCAGTCCACTTAGGGAGTCGGTAAGTATTAGGATTTGTTTGTGGTTTTTGGATTCTTGATTATGGAGGGCTGAGGCCATGCCCATTAGTTCTGCCGTGAATATTGATTGGTTGTTTGGGAGTCGGAAGGATTGTGTGGTTTTAGTTGGTTGTGTGGTATGGTCTCCGAAACCTGTGTGTTTGGAGGTCGGATCTGAGGATCCGTCAGTGTAAATGTGACACCAATTTGGCCAATTTCCGTGTATGTATGCTAGTGTGGTAGTTTTAGCTATGTTTGGGTCGGTTTGTTTATTTATTTGGCTAGCTAGTGTTGTGTCTATTTTGGGTATTTTAAGTTTAGGGGTGAAGATATTTGATTGTTTGCAGTTTTGTTTAAGATTTTTAATTTGGTGTTCATTTAGGTAGTTTGTTATTCTTTGGGATATTGGGGTAAGTAAGGGGTGTTTACGAGCTAGAGCTTGGTTTTTGGGGCTGATGTTTTGGTTTATTAAGTTTTGGATGAGAGGGTTTGATTGGGACGCGGCCCAGAAATTTAAGCTTAGCCGTTCCCTGCGTTCCCTGACTTAGTGGCATTTCTCCTGTTAAGGCCTGAAGTGAGGTGTAGGAGGTGCCATGTTGGGTGCGTGTAATAAGTTTGAGAGCCTGATATTGTATTGAGTCAAGTTTTTTAGATAGAGAGTTGTTTAGGGTGTTGTATATGGCGCAGCCGTAGTCTAGTTTTGATCTGATTATTGATATGTAGAGAGAGAGGAGGGTATCTTTGGAGGCTCCCCAGTTAGAGCCAGTTAGGCATCTTAGGGTGTTTAGGTCTTTACTGCATTTAGTTGTTAGGTTTCTGATGTGAGCATACCAGGTGAGATGTTCATCGAAAATAAGTCCTAAGAATTTGGTTTGTTTTTGAAATTTGATTGTTTGATTGTTTAGCTGGAGGATTGGGGAGGCGGGTTTCATGTTTTTATGTTTGAATACTATTCCTGTTGTTGTTTTCTGAGTTAAGGGAGAAGCCCCATTTGTCAGCCCATTGTTGTATTTTATTAAGAGATTTTTGGAGTAAATTTTGGACCATTTTCATGCTTTTAGTGCGGATCCAGATGGCTCCATCATCCGCGAATTTTGATGTGCTAGCCCACTGATGGGATAGGCCCTCGAATAGATCGTTTATCACTAGTCAGAACCCCAGAGGATGTATATATACCAGATCCCATGCAACTGTGACCACCAAAACATTGGAGAAACCCTTAGACCTCTCAACACCAGACTCAAAGTACATCAGACCTCTGTCAACAAACTAGAACCATAAATCTGCAATTTCCGAACACATCACCAAGAACCAAGACCATTCCATCATGTGCTAAACCACCAAAGTCTTGTCCACCGATCCACTTAACTAGCACCAAAGGAAACAAGTGGCCATTGAAATCAGGAGATAAAAGCCAGCCTTGGACAATGACCAGGGGTCATAACGTTCTGCCCGGTGCTTGTGCCACAATCTATGTATAGCATTATCCCCCTATCAAGCTAATTAATACAGCATGCTTCCATTTGTCCATTGCTAATTTCCAAGCAGTGCTAATTAACTCCTTCCTTCGATTTGTCCATTGCTAATCACCAATCAGCGCTAACCAACTGTTGGCTTCACTTGCTATCTTATCACTACTGTTGCTTTTACATTTATACATTATATATGCTCTCTGCATTCTGGTATTGATTCCCATGATAAAGGAGTAAGCATCTACTCTGATATCCTCGGAGAATGACAGAATTGTCGGTACCGTGACTCCAGCCTGTATTTGATTGAATTATCGTGTATTCAAATACAAGTCCATACTTCGTGGCATAAGGTATGGTGAGGTGAGGTGAAATTAGGTCCTACGTCGCGTCCAAGATTATTGCACTTATATAGCGACGTGCATGCACGTGTGTGGGTGTGTGTGGCTGCTTGTACTAGTCCGGACTGATGCCGATTTATAGTGCTAGCCCACTGAGATACCATGCCGCAGTTTTAGCATGAATACCCCACTCAGACACAGTATACTGACTCCGAGCCGACCAGTCCTTGTTTTAGCCCTTTAATGCCGAGCGCCAGACAGGGTTACAACAAGTACCATCTTTTAACGTCTTTTGGTATGACGCGGCCAGGGATCGAACCCCGGACCTTCCGCTCTCCGGGCGGACGCTCTACCACTACACCACGGAGGCGGCCTCATAAGGTATGGACTCATTATCCTTATATCCATTGCATATGTTATGGGGTGAGGCCAGAAGAAGTTGCTCCAGAGTCCACAGATTTTCCCTTCCAAGCACTGCCTGTTGCACTGGGCACTAAGTCCAGCAATGATCGATCGGTGACTGTTAAAACGTCTGGCAGCATGGCGTTGTGAGCTTGCGAACCAGCATACAACTAGCCGATGGCATGTTCCTTCAGAAAGTCGTGCCATCTACCCACGATGTGTCAGATCTGCAGACCCGTGAAGATTCCGGGGTAGAATAGGTCTTCAGCAACCCATGCTTGCCGTAAAAGGTGACTATGCTTGTCGTAAAAGTCGACTAACGGATCGGGTGGTCAGGCTCGGTGACTTGGTTGATGCATGTCATCGATCACAATTGCGTGGATCGATGCTCATGATATTAATCACTGGATTGTCTGGTCAAGACTCGATTATTTACAGACCGCTGTCATATAGCTGGAATATTGCTGAGTGCGGCGTTAAACAACAAACCAAACCAAAACCAAAACCAAAATCAGATCTGCATCTAAAAACACATGACCATGTATTTGACTGTGTTTGGGTAAAAAACGATAAACAATGTCAAAAAACGTAGATTTAACATCGGAGAGAGCTCATCGTCAATAGTACGGGTTTGTATTACGTTATGAGGTACTGACGATGCAGGGAACTTAACATATGGTGTATCCCACATTTTGAAGCATGTATACTTACATAAGACATGTTCTAGTCTAAAGGTACTTCAGTACTTGTAGTGACATGTTTTCAACAAAAGCACATGACAACCAAATTGCTTTAAGCACTATTTGCATATATCTAGGTCTTGCAATTTAACTTTTGAATACACAATCCTCCCCAAACCTACCTCTATATCCCTGGGGGCGATCGGGTAGCCTGGTGGTTAAAGCGTTCGCTCGTAACGCCGAAGACCCGGGCTCGATTCCCGACATGGGTGCAATGTGTGAAGCCCATTTCTGGTGTCTCCCGCCGTGATATTGCTAGTATATTGCTAAAAGTGGCGTAAAATCATACTCACTCACTCTTTATCCCTATTTGTGGGTGTAGTGTGGATATACATCTCCTCGTGAATAGATATAAATATAACTTATCATTGATTATTGATTCGACTATTGATCATTATATAACTCAACAGATCACTCATCAGTTCCGCTAACATCTGATGTTAAACAGTATTGTTTCATGGTAAATAGAGATAGACCTACTGTGTGTTTAATTAGATGTTAGGAACACAGTATGGCAATTTGTCTCGACGTCTTACACATTTTCAATCGACATTAGTCCCTTAACTGGGATAAAGTAAGAGTTAGTCATTGATTTTAGTCAATTATCGTAGATGTTAGGTCAATATTCAAGAACACTGTCAATTATCCTATTTGAAATAACATGGTTATTTTATAAGGTTTTAAGTCGTATAAGACAATTACTTTTATCTTATGTGCATTCCCACAGTCCGTCCTGTGTGAACCAAAAACCATTCGTGTTTTTAACTCTTAATTGCGTATTTGCGACTACCGTCTCTGTCCCGCGTGAACTACGAACCATTAACGTTTCTAACTCTGTTGTGCGTTCTCACCAGCGTCTCTGTTCTATGAGAACCAACAAATTCCCCGAAGGATGTCAGCGGTACCTGGAGGACAGATCAGATGGATCTCTATGATCATCATCATCTTTGGCTTCTGTGGTAAGTTTGTTTGTTTGTTGTTTTACGCCGCACTCAGGAATAATCCAGCTCTATGACGGTGGTCTGTAAATAATCGAGTTTGGACTAGAGATCCAGCGATTGATATCATCAGCATCGATCTACGGAATTGGGATACGATGACGTGCATCAACCAAGTCATCTAGCCTGACCACCCGATCCCGTTAGTCGCCTCTTTCGACAAGCTAATCTAATCCGAATCTTCACGGGTCCTGTGGCAAGTAGTAACACTTGATGTGGTATAGGTTAGGTGTTGTGTAAATAATGTCAGTTATTATATTCAACAGATCAAAAAGTAGTGTCATTTTCAGCATTCCGGAACCTTTTGGATACCTTCCAACTTTGAATCCGGTCCGTCAGGAACTATTTCTAAAAAAATGTCACAATTTTGGACGTGCATTTTGTTTAATAAACTGTGAAACATATCAAAAAACATATCTGAAAATTACCGAGAAAATCGAAGATTGTTGAAAGTATTCTTTGGGTATCCAGAAGAAAGGAAACCTGCTCTTTTTTACTTTTTATGGAAAGCCTGAAGTGATAAAGGTCATTTACGACTTACAGATTTAGTGTTTACAAACCATGGATTACAGAATAGGTTGTAGGATTCTTACATTGCTGAAAGTTATGGTGCCAAAGGGTCTGGGTTGATGAACAGTTTGTCGACTTTGTACACGACTATCTCACACAGCAAACTTGAGGAAAATTGTTTCATATGTAGACCTATTCATAAATAATTCAGACTGACAAAACACTCCTCACAAGACAGTATTGCAAGAGGGATGACTTCAACTTCCAATAGTCAAATCCCTTTATGTCGAGCAATATTCCAGCAGCTCCAGCCTTTGGTGCTTACATTTCAGATGTTTTGAGGCACAATCGCTCTTTCTTCAAAGATGTCAAAGAGTGTCATCAGACTCTTGCTCAAAATTGCTAAAAGCAGCGTAAAACCATATTCACTCACTCGCTGTTGCTCAAAAGTTATCGGGGTAATAACATTTAAGGCCTTAGTGAAGTTTTCGAAACGTGTTTTGGTACATTGTGGTTGGCATTTCTAAAAATTATGTCTTCCTTATTTTGACTTGTATCGTAGGTTCTCGTGGTTGCCCTTGTATTTGTTTGTGACGGGTGCCATCGGTTGGACAGGGTTCGCTAACCTTTTTGCCTACACCAGGTATTTTCACTATTTGACATTGACAATACGATGCTCCTATTGGCACGGGTGTCAATCTCATGATATCATCGCCATGCCGGGGGCACGGGTGTCTCTCTCATGATATCATCGCCATGCCGGGGGCACGGGTGGCCCAGTCGTCTGAGGCGCCGCGATTCGCTGTGCAGAGTTGCGTCCCTTGGGCACGCCAGAAACCTATGATCGTGGGTTCGAATCCCGGTTCGCCCCGATTATGTTTCTAGGTTTGTCAGCACCATACCCGTGCTCCTGGGTTTCACCGAAGTGTGAACGTCTAAGACCTGCATCACTTCGGGCTTTCCTCCGACATTAAGCTGACACGCCGTGATATAACTGGAATAATGTTAAAAACGGCGTTAAACCCAACTCACTCACTCACTCATCGCCATGCCACGTCATCTGAGTCAGTCCTTGGATGATGTCACGACCCTTCATTTGACATAAATCAAAAGGAACATGCTGGCATACTCCAAAGTGCATACTCCAAAGCACTTCGTCATAACATAACACAGCCCCATGATTTGTGCAACCCTGTTGGGAGCCGGTTTAGAATAGGTCCCCGGTTTCTTCCGTTCGACGCAAGAAGGGAATTATTGGATTTGATGCTCCGTCAGCATACCATGCGGCGTTCGTAACCGATATCAATCACTGACTATAAGCTCACCCATCATGTCCCCGGGACATTAGAAATGAGGCAACATGCTTCTCAGAAAAACGACGACCAATCTATGGTAAAACATTGATAAAAATGGATGTGGTAGTTATTTTGCGATTGCTAAGGTAGTTTCATGACGTACATAGTCTGTGACCGCCAACGTAATGTTAACAAAGTGAAGCCTTCCTCATCCACACTTGTACAGTACTGTTTTATTCAGATGCCACAAGGTTTTACCATCGCGTCAAAGAAACGGTTGATCATGCGACTGCGGTGACGAGATGTGCCGACCTTGGACTGACTTTGGCAATACTAGAATCGGCAACGTCGTGGGAGTCGATGAAGTCTGTCGTTCCTGCTGAGTAAGTATAGGAGTTGTGGTAAAGGAAATAAGGTTTGTGTGTTCCCTGATACGTTTGTACACGAAATGTTAATGAAAATAAGGTTTGTGCATTTCCTGAGTCTGTTTACGAACTGCCATTTAGTCAAATATAGGTTTGGGTGTTTTTCTGTTCGGTCAGTATACGTACTGCCGTTAAGTCACATAGGTTTGTGTTAAATTTGTTACGCTCATGCGATCTGACTTGCATTTTCATATAAAAGAGCCTGGGCGGAGTACTGGATTGGACTCGACTATCTGTCCGGCAGTTTTGGATGGGCAGACAAATCTCCATTCACCTGGACACAGTGGGAAGTTTCAAATGAGCCTAACCTCCTTGCCTCCGAGCAGTGTGTTGTCACCAATACAGACGGCGGGTATAGGTGGTACACCCGGTCATGTTCCGATAAATACTACTTCGTCTGCAGCGTCGGTAAGCAAAGGCCAGAATGCACTATGACCACATGCCTGTCTGACCCGTCAAGATCCGTGGTAGAATACGTCTTCGGCAACCCATTCTTGTCGTAAAAGGCGACTATGCTTGTCGTAAGAGCAACTTACGGGATCAGATTGTGAGGCTCGCTGACTTGGTTGATGCATGTCATCGTATTCCAGTTGCGTGGCTCGATGCTCATGATGTCAATCACTGGCTTGTCTGGTCCAGACTCGATTATTTCAAGACCGCCGACATACAGCTGGAATATTGCTGAGTGCGGCGTTAAACAACAAAGAAACAAACGGTATGTCCGTCACGGTCTCCTCATTATTCAGTTAGACAGTGGGGTAGCCTAATATAAAAACGACAATACCCTTTCCATATCCAATAGAAATCTCTGTATAAAACAGAGTCGATTGTATGAAGCCGACTATATCATGAGCATGTGTTTATGAATCACTATCCACTAGATACGATACCATGTGTTCGCGAAAAGGTGAGCGAACCCTGCTCCACCGGTGGCACCCGTCACAAACACATGCAAAGGCAAGTCAAATATTCACCTAAAAAACCCGGGAACATATGGTACAAGTTAAAATAGGGAATTGCATCGGACATCATTTTTGTCACTGATGCGTCAAATTTGGCAATGTCCTCCACATGTTTACAATTAAACTTATTAAAAGCTTTACTGAGGCCTTGATCAAACAACTTCTAAGTAAAAGTCGCATGACGCCCTTTGAAATCTTGGTAGAAAGAGCATGCTCGACAGTATCAAAAGTTGTTAAATGTAAACACAAAAGACTGGAGCTGCTTGAATATTGCTCGACATGAAGGGAAAATTAAATATTGGAAAGTTGAAATCATCCAACTTGGCATTCAGTCTTGTTGGGAGTGTTTTGTCACTCTGACTCATTATGTATTTATCTACTTATGAAACAGATGAGGCGGTATCACTGGTCCCCTGTATTTCTAGTTCAGGTGGATAAATCAGAGGAAGGGAATTTGCTATTTGATTGTTATTGAACGATATCAGATTAACGATATACCTGAAGCTCTAGTTAAAATTCTTGGCCAAATTACCTTGTTTTGCCAATCAGAACAAAACTTCCGATTCATATCCATAAAGACACAGATCCGCAAGGGGAGCACAATTGGTGCCCTCGGGGATGCCTACTTCTTGCCTAAATGTCTTACCCCCATATTTTACAATGTTAGGAAGTCCAGCATTTCACATATTGTTTTCTCAGTAAACTTCATATGGCATTTGCTTTCATGTTTTACAAATGTCCCTGAACCTCTAGAGATAGACACGTAACTGTACCTGTGTTCACTCCGTTTGGTTACAAAAAAACCATAGATCAAGGAATGGAGTTTTTCCTTAAGTCTGTCATTTTGGATACTGGTGTACAAAGTTGAAAAATCAAATGTGATCAGAATGAATTTTTTTTTTGAGATGGCAAAAAGTCAAGCAAATCCAAGTCCTTTGACTTTGTGAGAATCCACATGACATTAATTCCGCTTGTCTCAAATACTTTCTGTGAATATGAAGAAAGTCCTTCCTTGATTGTATTAAGGATTATGGTTAGTCTTTGCGTCAGTTATTTGGTGGTACTCTCTTTGTACGGATTTTCATGGAGCTTTGGAATCCAGTACAAAAAAAGGAATGGACATGTCTTCAGGTTTTAGAGTCAATTCAAAGGCTAACAGTACTGATTTATGGTTTTGACAGAGTTGTTCCTCAGTTAACACACTGGCCTTAAATGTTGCGTTATTTGATATGTCATTTATACCACGTTCTTTGATCAAACAGTTAATGTTGTCTTGCTTACATATAATGGTTATGTTATTTGAGGCCCTGCCAGTGGAAACAACTAAAAACTTTTCTTGTAGGACAGCCAGACTTTGGATGACAGCTGGCTTTGACAGAATGGGTTTATTCCAATTTCATTTCCTCTTTTTAAGTGTGTGGATTCTACTGTTGACAACATCACGTACTGACGTAACCCATTCTGAAAGACATTCAACAGGTTCCTCTTCTCTTTTGGCCATTTTTTGGCAGATTCCTCGACAGCATCCATAATGATTTTAAAGTTGTGATCCCAATTGTAGAAGGTTGCTCACGGCATTTTGGTTCATATTTAAATAACTGCGATTATATGATCTGCAGGTTGATGGCAGTATGATGAGTCTTGGCAGCCACAAGTAGTGGAATTTACATCATGAGCAGCCATGTCAACGTTTTGCAACACGTTCCTATAATTGAACAACCTGGATGAAATTGTGTTCGTATAGGAAAATGAAATTGTTGGTGGTTCCTGAAATTTGAAATGTTGTGGGACATTATGGGAAACTGATCTTTGTCTGGGAATATAACTTAAATTTAAGGCATCAATTCCCTTATTTTCAAATTTCAAATTCAAGCAAATGGTTGTTGTTGCTGTTTCACAAACACCAATTGTCAGCCTTATATAGTACGCCTCACAATGACGTGACATATACATGTAACTTATAAGTAAGTCAAGCAATTCAAGTTAGATGTCCGGCTTAGGAAACATTACTTGAAGCATTTAAAAGAAATAAGTTTTAAAATCAATACTATATTTTACAGACTTGGTCGGCGAGTATTTCACAGAAATATTCCGTAAAGCACCCCCGAATGACCCTGTGACGTCGTTTCCGGTTGTCAACCGGATGCACTGTGTGGCCAGCTGTCGTCGCGACCCTGACTGCTACTTTGTGACTGTAGAGGTCAGTGATGGGGTCAGCACGTGCGGCAAGTACAACTTCAACACATTCCTGGCCGGCCTGTCACCCTCACCACGTGACTCCTGGATACCCGTGGACCCGTGACAAGCAATCTGGACATGAGATATGTCTCTTAATATAAATCTGGCCTAGGGACTGAATATGTTTTATCTTGCTCTACTCCTAGGTAAATTGAAGGACTAAGCACAGCTCGAACTTCTTCTGTACAATCCGTTACTGATCGAATAACCTTACAACACAAAATCAACTAACGAAGAGGTATCGTTAAAAACAACCCTTTATGTCTGACCACTACATATGTCAACAAACATTTTGCCAAGCCAGTGGGCAAACATATCGGTGCACAACCTTCTGATATTTGCACAGAGTGCACCTATCGCTTTCAGTTATTCTGGGCATTTGATTGGCTGATTTTGACCACAGACCTTCACGGGACTACTTTCGCTACACTTATTCGTTCATATCTCCGTCACAAGAACACCGTTTTGGTTCATCCGGGACATGCAACCAAACACAGGATGCCAAAGGGAGTGTTTAATTTGCATTTTTGTAATCAATTTCTGAAGCACCTTAGCAGAAAAACAATACCTTATTTTAGATATGCATATACAACTGAATAAACGAGTTTGAAATCTTATTATCTTCTTCCTCAAACATTTGATCATATATTTACGATACAAAAGTCGTTCTATACCCCTCTTTTAACTTTGTTGCTTCCCATAAACACGGGGGATCTCTATATTAAAGTCCCTATGGAAATAGCACAAAAACCTTGGGTGATATTAGGGAGCCTCGCATTTTCCGCATCCAAATAGTTAAGTAAACCGGTACGAACTCTTAGTATGCTCTTCCTTAACCATTTGATCCGATGACAACGTAATAAGTCGTCTGTATCCCCTGTTCAAAAATTTTTAACTTCTCTTAAACACTGGGGACCTCTATATCAAAGTTCCTGGAATTACCCTGAAAGCTTTGTGGTACGTTTGGGAGCCTCGCCTCTTTCGTACCGAAACCGTCAAATAAAGTCCTAGGACTTGGAGGCCTGCACTCACGCACTCCTCCTTGCCACTCTGCCAAGCCTGTTATAACGTCTTGGGACTTTGATATAAATAAAAGCGACAAAACAATTTTCACGCTTAAATGTCGTAACAAAAGTCGACTGTACGATTTCGTCTGCCTCGTAGCATGTGTTTATGAATCACTATTCCTTGATGAGGAAACCATGTGTTCGCGTAAAGGTGAGCGTATCCCGCTCCCGTCACAAACACACGGTAAGGCGAGTAAACTGATCGCTCGAAACATATGATGTGGGAACATATAATGCAAGTCACAATAAAGAGTTACATCGTACATTATGTTTTCACAGATGCGTCAAATTTGTCAAGCAATAAACATTTTTGAAAGATTGAATGGTGTAGCCATGAGCAAGAGTTGTATGACGCCCATCTTCTTGCCTCCCTGTCCCACGTTTAGATACGTTCTGGGGCTTAGAGGCCTACACTCAGACCCCCCTCTCCTTGCCACCCTGCCTCACGTTTAGATACGTTCTGGGGCTTAGAGGCCTACACTCAGACGCCCTCTCCTTGCCACCCCGTCCCACGTTTAGATACGTTCTGGGGCTTAGAGGCCTACACTCAGACGCCCTCTCCGTGCCACCCCGTCCCACGTTTAGATACGTTCTGGGGCTTAGAGGCCTACACTCAGACGCCCTCTCCTTGCCACCCCGTCCCACGTTTAGATATGTTCTGGGGCTTAGAGGCCTACACTCAGACGCCCTCTCCTTGCCACCCCGTCCCACGTTTAGATACGTTCTGGGGCTTAGAGGCCTACACTCAGACGCCCTCTCCTTGCCACCCCGTCCCACGTTTAGATACGTTCTGGGGCTTAGAGGCCTACACTCAGACGCCCTCTCCTTGCCACCCCGTCCCACGTTTAGATACGTTCTGGGGCTTAGAGGCCTACACTCAGACGCCCTCTCCGTGCCACCCCGTCCCACGTTTAGATACGTTCTGGGGCTTAGAGGCCTACACTCAGACGCCCTCTCCTTGCCACCCCGTCCCACGTTTAGATACGTTCTGGGGCTTAGAGGCCTACACTCAGACGCCCTCTCCGTGCCACCCCGTCCCACGTTTAGATATGTTCTGGGGCTTAGAGGCCTACACTCAGACGCCCTCTCCTTGCCACCCCGTCCCACGTTTAGATACGTTCTGGGGCTTAGAGGCCTACACTCAGACGCCCTCTCCTTGCCACCCCGTCCCACGTTTAGATACGTTCTGGGGCTTAGAGGCCTACACTCAGACGCCCTCTCCTTGCCACCCCGTTCCACGTTTAGATACGTTCTGGGGCTTAGAGGCCTACACTCAGACGCCCTCTCCTTGCCACCCCGTCCCACGTTTAGATACGTTCTGGGGCTTAGAGGCCTACACTCAGACGCCCTCTCCTTGCCACCCCGCCCCACGTTTAGATACGTTCTGGGGCTTAGAGGCCTACACTCAGACGCCCTCTCCTTGCCACCCTGTCCGACGTTTAGATACGGTCTGGGGCTTAGAGGCCTACACTCAGACGCCCTCTCCTTGCCACCCCGTCCCACGTTTAGATACGTTCTGGGGCTTAGAGGCCTACACTCAGACGCCCTCTCCTTGCCACCCCGTCCCACGTTTAGATACGTTCTGGGGGCTTAGAGGCCTACACTCAGACGCCCTCTCCTTGCCACCCTGTCCGACGTTTAGATACGTTCTGGGGCTTAGAGGCCTACACTCAGACGCCCTCTCCTTGCCACTCCGTTCCACGTTTAGATACGTTCTGGGGCTTAGAGGCCTACACTCAGACGCCCTCTCCTTGCCACCCCGTTCCACGTTTAGATACGTTCTGGGGCTTAGAGGCCTACACTCAGACGCCCTCTCCTTGCCACTCCGTTCCACGTTTAGATACGTTCTGGGGCTTAGAGGCCTACACTCAGACGCCCTCTCCTTGCCACTCCGTTCCACGTTTAGATACGTTCTGGGGCTTAGAGGCCTACACTCAGACGCCCTCTCCTTGCCACTCCGTTCCACGTTTAGATACGTTCTGGTCCCTGTAACACTGTTTAAGTTTACTCATAATGTATATGTATGTATTCGTCAATTGATACATTAATCAATAAACAAATCCTGAGGTTGTTTAGCATTTGTTATGAATAATAAATAAAAAAAGATATTATTAGTGGTTTCTTAGTTTGTTACAATGCCGTTTACAACCTAACCACTGACTGGGATTAAAATTATCATACCGCTTCCGTACATATGATCGTCACGATATGGCTGAAATATTGCCGATGTGACGTAAAGCATAAACTAAACTCCGTACATATGTACATATACATATACATGTAGGTATGGTTTTGCCTATGTCAGGACATCCACCTCGTTCAGCGATCGCTATATAATCGTCTCCAGCTAATCACAAGGGTTAAAAAGTTAGAGAGTATTGAATTGAGGTTCATACATCTGACTGTAAACTCTTCGTGCTTTGTCCAGCATAGTATTTGCGTGTAAATAAGTGCTGGATCAATATTAATTGGTTTATTCGTTTCTTTCAATTAGTGTTAGAACCAATGATCGAATTTTTGTACATAAAAAATGATTTGAAGGGTTGATTAGTGGCATATATAAGTTATTAGTCATGTTACTAACAAAGGCGCCGGGCTGAGGATATGTATCACAAGATGAACGTCGATAGACAACTGAGTCGAATTCAATTGAAGTCATTAATATATTGTATCCCCTTCGTGGTCCTCAGCATGGTCAAACAAGTATGTACCTATAATTGTGATGGAATCTTTGAGGGGTCCAGTAAATGAAACGTGATAGTTAATTTTCTTTTTCATGTTGCTAACAAAGGCTCCTGTTTGAGGATCAGTATCACAAGTTGAACGTCGATAGACAACTGAGTCGAAGCCAATTGAAGACATTAATATATATTATATCTCCTTATGTTCACACAAGCATGTACCTATAATCGTGATGGAATCTTTGAGGGGTCCAGTAAATGAAACGTGATAGTTAATTTTCTTTTTTGTGTACAGTAAGACTCTTTTGCACCAACTCTGCGCTTCAATAAAAGTCACAAAACCTGAATTTTCCATTATCGTAAGAAATATCTAAAGTGATTTACGATTCCAACTTCATAAATTGTTCATGTTTCGTGCGATTCCGTAAATTGAAATAATATGTTTACCTAGAAATCTGAAGGTAACAGAACTTAGTGTGAAACCAACAAGTGGCAAACAATCAACAAATGTCAGACAAAATCCACTAAAAGTTTACAACTCAAAACAAATTACTGCATACCAGTTGCAATGGCAGAAAACAATAGTAGTAGTAGTAGTATTAGTAGTAGTAGTAGTAGTAGTAGTAGTATAATATTCAATGGCAATAATTAATATGACAGCAGTGGTCAGAATCAAATACAAAACTACAATGATGAAAGCAAAGGTCAGTGATAATTGTGTATATTCACCCAGCGGCGGCAGTGGTCAAACTTCCTGGATGGGCTAGCCAGGGAATGAGGGATGATGAGCGATCATCACATGAAAGCTGGTTCCGATGTGATGTAAATGCGTGAGAGATACGTGAACACGCTCTTGTCCTCGTATATACAACCTAACAAGCTACTGGAAATTTCCATACAGTGCACTCACCAGTATAACGATACTAGAACATTACAGACATTTCCATAACATACTATCACCGTCCACGGTGCACCGGACCAGAAGTTTTCACCACACTAGCATCTAAATATGGTACTTCATGACGAATGGTCACTTTCCAAATACAATGCAAATGAGCGTTTACAGAATCTCAACAGAACCAATCGCTGTTAAACAAAGAATACAATAAAATATACTATTCACCTGAAAAAAACACGGTAACTTATGACACAAGACAAAGTAGGTAAATGCATCGGACACATTTTGGTCACTGATACGTCAAATTGGGAATGTTATCCAAATGTCTCCTGTAAAACGTTTTGAAAGCTTTACTAAGGCAATGCGTGTAACCACAAGTTGACATCGATAAACAATAGAGGCAAAGCCAATTGAAGACATTGATATATTATATCCCTTTGTGATTCTTAGCATGTTCACACATCCATGTAGCTATCATTGGAGGGGTCCAGTGAATGAAACGTGATCGTTGATTTTCTTTTTCATGTTACTAACAAAGGCTCCTGTTTGAGGATAAGTATCACAAGTTGAACGTAGATAGACAACTGAGTCGAAGCCAAGTGATAACATTAATATGTTATATCTCCTTATATCTCCTTATTCCTGGGATTCGGTAATTGCTTTCAGATATCACAAGATAAACAATAACGTCTTACTACGTTTCTTGCGGCCTGTCGTGGAGCGCGCAATACTAGTTTATCAACAAAGAAGGAGGTGGTGAGGTGAGGTGAAATGGGGGTTAATGTCGCGTCCAAGATAATTGCATTTATATAGCGACGTGCATGTACGTGTGTGTGTTTGTGTGGCTGCTTGTACTAGTTCGGACTGATACCGATTTATAGTGCTAGCTCACTGAGATACCATGCCGCAGTTTAACATGAATACCCCACTCAGACACAGTAAACTGACTCCGAGCCGACCAGTCCTTGTTTTAGCCCCTTAATGCCGAGCGCCAGACAGGGTAACAACAAGTACCATCCTTTAACGTCTTTTGGTATGACGC